TTGTTCTTGATTTATTTGTGTAGTGTCCTATATCCTGGTCTGTGTCTTGGCATAGACTTTTGGCTCTCTTTCATGTCGATAAATTCGTCTGTCATCCATTTTGCTTTTCTCCCTCGTATCTGCTTTTCACACCGTCCATATATTTTTCCTTCACTTGTGAATTTGATCCGCATTGGCCGGTGCATGCAAAATTTGACATTCAATAATAGCACAATGCTTTACATGTTAGGAAATCAACCAACCTAACCATTAAAACTAACTAGTAATTTCGAGCCTTACTGGGTGGCACATACAAATTTCCACATTACATAAACCTAACATATCTGACCTCTCATTAAATCAACATAAATATTATTACTAAGTAGTAATGGTTAGATTTGTAATTAGTAATTTCGACCCTCACAAGGATTCAACATTAAATAACACAACAAATATGGACGAGGTTTAAAATAAGCCAACCAAAGCAACCAATACAAATAATTATATTTTTGATAGATATATTGAAAATATTATCCTAATTAAATTTGAGAACAGGTGTCCTACAGTTTTATCAACATATAGGGTATTCTGAAAATGATTACATAATTCCTTAGTATTATTGCTATTTTTGGTATGGAATAATTTCATAATAGCGTATATCAAATAATAATAACATTATTAGGGTTATTTTTAAAAAGCTAGTGTTCTAATGTCGCAAAAATGTCATAAAATCAACCAACTTAGCTGGTTTAATACCAAACGGCCAACTTTCGAATTAATATACAGGCTGAAACTCACTGATCCGGAATTTATTATACCGGCATCTTTGATGCGGGTTACTAGTTTGCTTTCAATGGCAACAATCCTTAACCTCTCTGCATAAAGAAATTGTTAGATAACTTCCCGTGTCCTTCTTTTGCACACAACCCGGATGTCGTGATGGAAAATAAGTGAGAAAAGTGATTGCCATTGGTCAGAAATCAATGCAAACATTACTGAGAGTATTCAATTATCATATGTAATTAGGGGAAATAACTTCTCTTATGTGTCTAATAAAAATGCGGGAAGATTTAATTTTTTATTCGAATAGGCTCTTTTTCCCTATCCCGGTAAAATAGACACCAAGGCTATTTTGCCAGTCCCGGTAGTGTATTGGCAAGAGAACTATGCCCAAGAGCAAGTTTTGGATTTGTAAAGACTGTTATACCTGATGTACTTAAAATATTCAGATACTTCTATATTTCTTTTAATAATTGATGATGAATTTTAAAATTTAACTTGTGTTTTAACAGTTGATGGTGGAAAAGATGTTAAATTGTCTTTACAATTGATGGTGAAAATAAATAAACTTCTTAGTTAATTCTGTGTGCTATTTTTAACATTAGCTATCTTCATAATAATAAAAATATTTTCCGGCAAAATATCCTGGGTTTCTATTTTACTGAAACCGGTAAAATATGCTAAAAAGCATTATCTATTTTACCGGGGCCGGCAAAATAGCCTCTTCCTTTTTTCAGTCGTAACTGATCCTAGCGGGACAAGCTTGTTAACCATTACACCACATCGAATTGCACAGCACTTTTATGATATGGTGGTTTTCTAAAAGTAGCTTATATCAGAGTTAACTTCTCCTTAATTATCTAAATTGGTCACAACACTATAAACACTGGGCGATTTATTGCCTCGTTCTCTATTTACTTTGCATTTTAGCGGACACATTTAAAAGATGTGATCTCTCGCAGAGATCTGCGTTTTGCCCACTTGTGGGAAAATGCCATGAAACACACACACACACACACACACACACACGCGCGTACGTACGAACATTCACTAAAATACAAACTCTTTACGTTCACACACAAACACAAAAGTTAATGTCTATGTCCATTGTAAATCTTGTTGTTTTAATACATATACTTGTTGTATATATATATATCGGTCTTGTTGGTTTTCTTTACACTCTGAGTTCGCCATTTTCTTGTGGTGGACCTTTTAATATTCTATCAGGAGTTACACACGTGTTCCTAATTTAACAACACGTAAACCCCCGGTCCGCTACACTTAGATGTGACTCTAGGTCGAAAATATGGGGTCACTCATTGACGATGGAACTCACTATTCAGTCGTAACTGGTTCTAACGAGACAAGCTTGTTAACCATTACACCACGTCGAAGTGCACAACGCTTTTATGATATGACGTATGTTGAAGGATTCTATTACATTTGGTAACGTGATACCTGTATGTAAGTGAATGCTGGACAATCTCCTCAAAGATAAGGAAGAGACTTCAAATAACAGAATTGTAGTTCTACAGAAAGATGCTGGGGATGTCATGGACTGAATATGTGACCAACAACGATCATTTAGAGAAACTGGAAACAAAAAGGAAACTTATACTTAACATCATGACGAGGTAGTTGAAATTTCAGGGGCCCGTAATGAGCAAGGAGGGTTTGGAAAATATGATACTCACAGGACAAATTGAGGGTTGGTTGATTTTGTTTAGCGGCATATCAACCTCTATGGGCTATTTAATTCCGAAATCTAAATATTTGAAAGCAATTTCATGCCTTCGACTACAGATAAAATGTTTTGTGCTCATTTTGCTATAAATATGTATTTATACTTTCACAGTGTTTTGTTTTTGCTTGGGGTTTCTTTATTTGTCCATAGCCGGGAACCTAAAAGCTACTACCAGTATATATATATATATATATATATATATATATATATATATATATATATATATATATATATATATATATATATATATTAATGGACAAAGTCCGACAATTATTTTAAGACATTTTTATATTCATACATTCTTTTTATAGATACAAATATTTAAGTAAATGCTCTGTTTATAATAAACAGTATTAAACATAAAAACATAAAAATGTCTTAAAATAATTGTCGGACTTTGTCCATTTCATAATATATATTGTTAATTTCAAAATGTGTGACGTCATTTGTTTATATTTGGATACGCCATGAGCAGATATGAATGTACGTGAGAGAATCATTGAAGACAGTAAAATCGACCTTGCTAACCGAACGCTCGTCTGTGGCCGAATCGGTTAATGACATGTTCAGTATAGGATACAGGTTCGATTCCTGTTGGAGGACGAATATTTTCTATGAAAATTTCTCGGACATTCAGGCCGGTAAATGTTGTTTAATACTGTTTATTATAAACAGAGCATTTACTTCAATATTTGTATCTATAAAAAGAATGTATAAACATAAAACTGTCTTATATATATGTGTGTGTATTTAGACCGCATAATTTCGTTCAAACAGCTTTGGTTAAATAATTTATGTGTACTATGTCTGTTTATTTTTGTTTTGATCCTTTTGAGTCCACGAATTAATTTCTTGCTGTCCGTAGAAAAATACAAAAATTTTGTTTCAAATAATTTTTCCCCACCAAGTACTTTCGGTCTCACCTGGGACCATCTTCAGGCGGTTAAATTGTCTTTGTATGTGTATATGTATTTCTATAAATTCAAAACATTTCTCCTGTCTGTTTTATTGCGTTATTTATAGTTCTATATCAATTTCAAGTTCACGAGTTTTCTTTCCATGCAAGGGAGACAACTTTTGTATGTCTTAAATTATATATATATATATATATATATATATATATATATATATATATAATGCCTCACTTAATTGTAATATACAGAAAAATATTCGTGAAAATGAAAAGATTCTGATCAAAATAAGCATAACGTTTGTAACTTATGCAATCAGACATGTCTATATATATAAATATGTGTGTGTGTGCGCGGTACTTAGTAGAAAGTGTTGAATATCTGTGATAGAGCTAGCATATTAGCTATATTAACATTAATATAATCACAATTGTCAATAAAACACCAGCGGTTAGCGCTGCTAAAAATACATCATGATGTCGGCAGACAGAACCCAACTTAACCAATGTGGTGGTAGTGTGGTAGTGTACCCAGACCAATGAGTGTGAGTATACGTCTACATATATCTGTGTATGTGTGAATGAATGTGAGCTTATCTGACGGCACAGGCGGCTGATCTGAAAAACGTTGAGACCCCCCCCCCATTCCTTCTTAAGAGAACATTGCTATATATGTAACGGTACAGTCTCGACACCGAAATAGAATAACAATTGCGTATATATATATATATATATATATATATATATATATGTGTGTGTGTGTGTTTGAACGCATGGATGTGTATCTGCGCCTAACCTCAGGTTATTTATACGAGTTTGTTTGTACGAACTAAAATGCATACACCTGTATGCATGTGTGTCTGTGTATGCGAGCGTGTTATCCCAAAGAAACGCAGAAGAAAATTTCCCTCCCCCTCCACCACACACAAATAATCAAACACAAATATGCATAAACATATCCACTTTTTAAAAAATAAACCAGTTTGTTTGGTGATCGCAAAAGAGTGAAACCCGGGCTTACAAACTAATAAATATGCAACTGTATATATATATATAGTCGACTCTCCCGTCGACTATATATATTCACTGTCACTGAATATTTTATATATATATATATATATATATATATATATATATATATATATATATATATATAAAATTTTCCCCGCCGATAGCTGGTGAATATAAATATGTATGAATGTACATTTAGTGTTTTACGGACTCTAAATGAATAAATACCACGAAGATCATACCAAACGCACAATATTACGTTTCTTCCATGTAGTTCAGCTTTGTAGGTCCGCTGTGAAGATTTATCGTTGTGAATCCACTGCCTTTTGTAGTGAACATTGTCGTACATAACCCATGTTTTATCACCTGTTATGATATAGTAAGGAACAATTATTTAGGACGATACATGTCAGTAAACTTGGTTCTTCAAAACGGAAATTATTTATAACTCGACCTGATAATAGGTGCAACGATGAAATGTTATCTTATTTTTATTTTTACTTCGTTTCAGATCCCGCCTAATATTTCTCCGCATTGGACATCGAGACCAAACTAAGAGTCCATAAAAATGCGACTATGGAGGCTGATTTTCCTGAGTTTGCTAATTTTCGGTTTTTTTCTGGTAATAATTCTATGCAGACTCTCATTAAAAGATCTAAGTCTGAACATTCGTCGCCATTCTCTCTTTGGTACAAAGTTCAACGATGTCATTAAACCCTTTTTATATACAGCTTCGATAAGAACACTCCGAAACTGCGGGAATATAAACAACATTGCTCAGACATTAATGACGCGTGGCGAAAATAGGAACGAACAAAAACAAGAAAACGTCACACTGACAATAGAATTCCGAAAAGCTATCACTGAAAAGGTCATACCAAAGAGAGATTTCACAAAAGAACTGCTCGTTTCGATTTCAAAATGGGGCTTAGTAAAAGATAATAGTGTAACAGTGCAAGCAATTTCGAAGAAACCGCAAAGCCAAAACATTAAAAGTCCTGGCGGGAATCGACCTCAAAGTCAAAGGATGAAAAAACGCAGAAGATTCCAGACCAAAATGGAACAAAGAAAACATCCTGTGAAAAAAAACTTCAAGAATATTTTACGCAAAGAAAAAGCCAATAAAGTTTTAACCGAATCAGAAATCTCATACGAAAACAATTTATTATCTCATCTACTAAATCAAGAATCAAGAACTCTCCCTGAGGATGACCTGAAATCATCAGAAACTAATGAAAAGTTTTTAGTGCCAAACATTGTTCATTATGTCTGGTTAAGCAGTGGACAAGACTTAAAATTCCACGAAATGCTTGGTATGTTGTCAGCACAAAAATATATCAAACCAGATTACATGAAATTGCATTGCGACAAGGAACCAACAGGAATATGGTGGAATATGTACAAGGTTAACTTGACAAGTCTGAAAATAGTGCATATCGATTCAGATATAAAAATAAATGGCGTGACACCAACAAAAATACAAGTCAAATCAGATATTGCCAGAATTCGAATTTTACAAAAAGAAGGTGGCATCTACATTGACTTTGACGTTTTCGTTATCCAGTCTTTTGACGATCTCCGAAAATACGAATTTACACTCGGCTTGGAATACCACGGTGAGCCCGGTCGAATAAACAACGGTATTATCATCGCAGCGCCGAATGCACGATTCTTTAAAATCTGGCTCGACTCGTATAAGGATTTCCGTCAGGATGAGTGGGATGAACACTCTTGTATTGGACCCTACCTGCTCGCTCCTAAATATCCATCTCTGATTAATGTAGATGAAAATCGACTCAATTACCCGAGTGGGAGAATGTTCCATCTGATTTATTATAATAACTACAACTGGACGAGAAATTACGCAATGCACTTGTGGTTCCGGAAGTATCGTAAAAATAATCCACCAATTACAGACTTCAATCCTAAAAATATCAAGACCCTGAACTCAACTTTTGGGCAGCTTGCTCGGCGAATATTGTATAACACGACAGACTTAATGAAGGACTTATGATGAAATGGCGTCAAAAGTCGTTCGTCTCAAGAGAAAGAGCAATTTCGATTATTTTTACTTTTTCTTTATTTCGTTTTGTCTTTTTTTTATTTTCCTTGTCTTTTTAATCTTTCCTCGCGTTTCTTTCTTTCTTTCTTTCTTTTCATCGGTTTTATTCCTTCTTCTGCTCTAAATTCTTGTTTCTTTTTTCTTTGTCTTTCTTTTCTTTCTGTTTTTCTCTTCTGTAAGGCTTCTTTTCTTTCCTGTTCCCCCACTTTATTTTCTCTTGTTTCTTTTTTCTTTCCTTTATTTCTGTTTTTCTCCTCTTTAAGGCTTCTTTCTTTTCTTTCATATTCTCAACCCCCCCTTATTTTCTCTTGTTTCTTTTCTTTTGTTTTTATCCTTTTCTTTTCTGTCTGTCTTCATCTTTTTTCCTTGCTTTTTTTCTCCGTGTTTTCCCTCTTCTTTCTTTTTTCTGCTTACGGCCATATCACGTTTTTTTTCTTTCTTTCTTTCTTTCTTTCTTTCTTTCTTTCTTTCTTTCTTTCTTTCCTCGGTTCTATTCCTTCTTCTGCTCTAAATTCATGTTTCTTTTTCTTTTTTCCTTTGTTTCTGTTTTTCTCCTCTTTAAGGCTTCTTTCTTTTCTTTCTTATCTTTCCCCCTCTTTTATTTTCTCTTGTTTCTTTTTTCTTTCCTTTCTTTCTGTTTTTCTCCTCTTTAAGGCTTCTTACTTTTCTTTCCTATTCTTTTCCCCTCTTTTATTTTCTCTTGTTTCATTTTTCTTTTTCTTTATCCTTTTCCTTTCTGTGTGTCTTCGTCTTTTTTCTTTGCTTTTTTCCCTGTGTTTTCCTCTCTTCTTTCTTTCTTCTGCTTACGGACATATCACGTTGAAATACGTCAAGCTATATCAAGACTGGTCACTACCTAGCTGGGTGACCGACTCGGGGTGCCAGTTGATGCAAGCTTGGATGTGTAGGTGGAGTAATGGATAACGTCACGGAATTGGAAATCTGAAAGCCGAGTTCAAATTCCAGTCGGGTTCGTTATATTCGCTTACAAGTAATCTGGAGAAAGATATGAATCACCTCTTCTCCCCACCCAGATATCGGTTAATTGGTAGGGCTTGTATCAGAATTATCCCCCCCCCACAAAAAAAAATTCTTGCATTCCAAAAATATTTTATGATTTTTAATAACGTGCAAAAGGTTGATAATCCGTAAAAAACTAATCAGTGTTTTTTTTCTTCTCCTTTCTAACAATTTTGCCTTCTCTTCTTACTTTTTATTGCTTCTTGAGCCTGGAATTAATTTCTTTCTTTTTTATTTTCTCTTTTTTTATTTTTCATTCATTTTTCCTATCCAACTTTCTTCTTCAGTTTTTTATCTTATATTTTTTAAAAGATTTAATTATCAAAAAAAGAATGTAATAAAATTCTTAAAAAAGTCTAAAATGAAGAGCATTGTCCAAAATACTTTTCACTTAGACTGAACAAATTTAATCATCGAAAGAAAAAAAAGACAAATGAGTGGAAAACGAAGAATGATTCATTCATTTTCCTTCATTCGTCTTAAAATTCTACAGCAGTTGTTCTCAACCGGGGTCTACATACACCCCGAAGATACGTGAAAGATATGTAAAAGAAGGATTATATATATATAAAGAAAAATTATATAAAGATTATAATTTATTGCGTAAATTAATGTAGTATTAGTAATAAATAATAATATTAATTTTAAATATTAATAAATTAAATTATTATTAAATTAATATAATTAATTAATATAAAATGCTTAAAAAATAAATTATTAAAAATGAAATTAAATTAATATACAAATTATATAAGGATTATATAAAAAGAAAGTATATACATCTACTATTTCTATTATACAATATACATAAAGGGTGTTCCAATAACTTGGACTGATTTTAAATGTGAATTAAGTTTAAAATCGCTCCAAGTTATTGGAACAGTCTTTATTTATATAGTTATAAATATATGAAAAAATTCTCAGAGTTAACCTGCAGAGAATATTTATAAATGTAAAAGACAATAGGAAAACTGACTGTAATAGTTGCCGACGCGTTTCGTCCGATGTGGAAGTTTTCAGGGCAAAACGAAATGGACAGTAATTGACGGAAATATATATATATATATATATATATATATATATATATATATATATGAAAAATTCTCAGAGTAACCTGTAGCAAAAGACAATATTTATAAATGTAAAAAGACAATAGGAAAACTGTAATAGTTGCTGATGCGTTTCGTCCATTTTTTTTAATAAATCCATTTCGTTTTTGCCTTGAAAAAGTCCATATTGGACGAAACGCATTGGAAAAAAATAATACAGTTTTCCTATTGGCTTTTAATGTTATTTTTATATATATATATATATATATATATATATATATATATATATATATATATATATATATATAAAATAAAAATAAAATAAAAAAATAAAAATAAAAATAAAAATAAAATAAAAAAAATAAAACGGTAAAAGCCAATAGGAAAACTGTATTATTTTCCAACACATATATATATATATATATCGTCATCCACAGACAGACTGTTTCGCAGCTCATCAGTGTGGCTAGACATCCGGTTGCCTCCAGCTAGGGTCGAAACCCGACTGAACTGGTGTCGGAGATTCTAACCATTAAGCCATCGGCGCACGGTAGAGAAGAAGGTGGTTTTTTAGCGTGTTTATCTTTATGAACACGCCCAGTGACCAGGATCTCTCTCTCTCTCTCTCTCTCTCTCTCTCTCTCTCTCTCTCTCTCTCTCTCTCTCTATATATATATATATATATATATATATATATATATATAAAGGAAAATCATATGAAGATTTTTATAATTTACTATATAAATTAATTTAATACATTAATAATAAATAACAATATCAATGTTAAATATTAATAAAATAAAATATTAATATATTAATATAAATTAATTAATATAGTAATGGACTCGAAATTGTGAAAAGGTGGAGGGTGATCTTCGACTATTATTGGCATCGATAGAGTCGAATATAAAAAAAAAAAAACTCACCGACCAGTATCAACAAGGATATCATTGAGAAAATCAGACCCTTTTTAATTCATTAATTACACATATATTTTAAATGGCTTATCATCAGTTATTTTACTAGTGGACATAAATTTTCCATAGAATTGAGTTATTAAATACAAGTTTATTTTCATTAAATTAGTTTTACTTCAAAATTAATCAGATACATTTATTATTTCTATAATACAATTCTGAAACTTATCTATCAGTAAAAAATAAAATTATCTTTTTTTCCCTCAAATGGTTATGGGAGCCCACCAAAAAACTTAAAATTAAAAATGGATCTTCATCAAGTTGGTAATATTGAGTGAACCAAGTAGCAACAAAGTTTGAGCTGAAAATCCTTAAAAACTCATTTAAAATAATTTAAGCGTCTCCATTTTAATAAATATTTAATTTTATTTGAAAGTTAATAGCTTAAAGCTAATATATAAAAAAAAATAACTTCAATAAGGCTGTAAGGTGTCCTTACGGTCATTTTATCATCGATCAGTTATCTTGATAAAAAAAAAAAAGATAGCAAATAATTTAAAACAGTTTTGCAAAATATTACTCAATTTACGCTTAAGATGTAGGGAAAATATATTTTAATATTGCAAGGTATATATTGCCGGATTTAATTAAATAAAAACAAAGACCAAATGTACCAAAGTGTGTGACACTGGCAAACGGAAAGAAAGGGTTAAATTAAAAAACATAACTCGGAACTAGACGAGAAGGGTTAATGAATAGAACGATAGATAGAGAGAGTGTAGCTAGATTTCTTTCTCTTCAAAAATCTAATTTTCTTAGGACAGAAAACAACCCAGAGAAAAAGTGATTCTTTTACAAGATATTACTGCAAGGAGCCATATGGCGATATTTAGCTAACAGCAGATTGTCGATAGGACCTAAAAGAAAACCGGTTATGAAAACACAAATCGAGAGATAAAATTTGGCGATCTCTGTAACCAAATCAAGGGAACAGAATTCCTTTGGATAGGGACCGGAGGAACAAGAACATAAGGAAAAGGCAGATGAAATTTCTGGGACACGTGATGAGAAAGGACGGCCTGGAGAATCTGATACTCACAGGACAAATAAAGGAAAAAAGAGACAGGGGAAAGCAGCGCATGATATACGTGGCGGGCTTGGGCAGGTGGACACCGGAGCTTGGTCTGGGTGAGTTGGCAGAAACACAAAACCTGTTGAGAGTCACAAGGGATAGGGGGAAGTGGAGGGCCATGATCGCCTACGTTACATAAAAAGAAAAAGAAATGAACCCAGAACCCAGGGTGCTTGGAGTGCAATGACTCTGACAGATGGAGATAGTGGTTGAGATTTGACTGACCAGAGGAAGCAGCGGGTAAATTTTTGATTTTATGAGCAAGTCCAGGCTGAGAAATTTTGCTGACGAGAAATTAAAATGATGATTTTAATTAATGACCACGAACTACGTCATGCCACGCAGTTGAGAACCAGATTGGTCGAAGAACAACCAAGGTAACGGGCGCAGGTGAAATATCAAGGAAGACGGAGGAATTGCCTGCGTCTATTGGGAAGTGTTAGTGCGAGGCACAAATAAGTGAAGGAAGGAGATGGGCGGATCGATATCCTGTGACCGCTACTAATCGGAAAAGGGGATTTCTCCAAATTTGGATGGATAATTAATTACCCAGAGCCAAATAGCAAAGTGGCTCTTGTCGTAAGATAGGGGAAACACCAAGTCCCCATATCCACATCAAACTCCCCACCCTCATGCCAGTTTTGGTGGAAGCCAATATAACTAGAATACTGAGGCGACCAAGAGAGAGAGAGAGAGAGAGAGAGAGAGAGAGAGAGAGAGAGAGTTTCCAGAAGTCCCCGAAACACAGAGAGTCAACCACTCTGCTGAAACCCACATGACTTAATGACAAAAAGAACTTCCGACTTTATTCTCGTTCCAGACTTAGGTAAATTAAGCAAAGTGCCACGATAGATTTCAAAGCGGAAAGGGTTAATAATTCTGTACCAAGAACCAATATTACTGTTCAAAGAACAATATAAAATTACATAGATCTTGAAGAAATTCCTGTTTTTTTTTGTTTTTTTTTTACTCGTCTGCAAGAACTTTTTTTAATTTCCTTTGTGACACACCTTTGCCGGGATCGAACCAACACTCCAATTGCTGACGGCAATCTGATCTTTGCCAGCTCTGTGATAGAGCAGAATGACCAACTTAACGGCCAGTGGCAGGATTTGACCGACCAGCAGAAGAATGTTGTAATTGTAGGAACTGGTTTCGTTTATGTTTAAAAATAATCATTTTTTACGTTCTAAGTAAGTTATAAATATTTTTTTTTGTTTTATAGGCCGTTTGAAACTTAGTAGAATCACTATTTTTATATTAGTCAGAATGTATTTAAAAAAAAAATAATTTTTTAATGTTTTTATGTTAATAGTTCTGATGAACTCTTCGAAATGGCACTTTATGAATTTAAGCTCAATACTAGACTGGTGTCGAGATCTCATCAATTTACTGTTGCGTTGGCTAGATGTAACCGTAAGTTCTATGCTAATAGAAAAACTATATTGAATCCATTGCTAGGTAAACTTGGTTCACTGTGTCATGCAAGAATTTTTCACTCCAGAATCTATCATACAAATCTATAAGTCTACCATTTATTCATCCTTAGAATATTGCTCCCACATATGGTCCACTACTCCTGCAATATATCTAGATATCCTTGATAAATCCCAGAGAAGAATCAGCAATATCATTGGTCTTGACCTGGCATCTCAGCTTCTGTCCCTTTCCAACCTTCTTAACGTAGCTTCCCTGTGTCTTTTCTATAAATATTTTCATGGTAATTGTTCGAATGAGCTATTTGCTATGGTACACAGACTTTATGAATTCAAGTGCAGTACTTGACTGGTGTTGACATCTCATGAATTTACTGTTGCGCTGGCTCGATGTAGCCGTAAGTTCTATGCTAACAGTTTCTTTTCTCGCACTTCCAGTTTATGGAACTCTCGTTCGGCTTCATGCTTTCCAGTCAACTTTGATCTTCAAATGCAAGTATGAATCCTCTTCTTCTCTCCCCATCTATGGGTAAATAGAAGGACATATCGTGTTTTACCGCGCGTGTATAGATAGAGGCACGGTGGATTAATGGATAGTGGCTTGGATTGAGGAATCGGAGAGCCGAGTTCGAATTCCAGTCGAATCCATTACATTCACTTACGTGCTAATACCCTTGGGAAAGGTGTGAATCCTCTTCTCCCACCAGGTTGGATGACAACTGGCCAAGCGCAGAAAGAAATCGTAACGTAGTGCGGGAAAAAATCTGCCTCGCCTCGAAAGATACATGATCGCCTAAGCGTGTATCACGCATGGCACTGAACTGACTGACACTGATTAAACATTAACAAAAACCCTAGTATCTAAGCCTGATGGAACCTACACACGGATGCTGAGAGCTATATTTAACATCTCTTGGAGACAACATCCAACTAAATCATTGCTCTATGG